GTCCGACACGTGCTCGTGCGCGGTGACGATATCCCGACCCGCGCTATCCCACCGACGATGACACCATGACGCGATCTTGGGGCTCAGACTCATCCTATGACCCGGACTATTTCACCCCTATAATACACGAGCTCATAAGGACACGATACCCCCCTGTCACACGGAGAATCGGCTATGTCTGCGGGAATTCCACTGTGCCACCACTAGCGACCCTCGGTGCTCTGATTTCCCTTCCCCCAACCACACCTACTGCTTCACCCACCCGGGATTCGTTGAGATCACCACCAGTTTCCCTCCTTTCCGCCTCCTCCTCCCGTATCATCAACTCAGTGTCGTTCTGTGGCCGGCCATAGCCCCCTATTGGCCCAATACGTTTTGCGTGAACTGCCGAGGCAGCAGCGCGCAGAGAACTCCGGAATTCCGAAGGCCCAACCCAGGTACGCGGCGGCGTGCGCCACGTGGCGGCCCCCGACGGCCTAACTTTCCGGGTCCGTCTCCACCTTGGAGGAGTTTTCTCGTAACCCGTCGCCCACAGTGTCCCGGCCCCTTTGGACTGTGAGACCTTTGCGTGCGCACCCCTCGTTCGCCTAATTGCATTCATATCCTTAAGACTCCCCCACTTCCCCCAAAAATCCTTGGCACACCCCTTTTCGCACTTCCAGGCCCACGCTCCACTCCGATCAGGAAGTTGCGCCGGGCGTGAGGTTGGGCGTCACAATCGTCGTATCGTGGACAGCAGTTGAACGCCATTGGCCTAATACTCTGTGCAGTGATTGCCGCCGCTTCGAGCGCTACCAGGCCAAGGGATTCCACTACCGCACACGTGGCGAGGACGATCATAAGGAAAGAGCCACTCGATCGAGGCCCTCCACGTTGGATTCGGAGATGTGTGGCGGCCCGACAGGACCTCATCCGCAAACGGGATACAACGTGTGTACCTGCCCCTTTTCACTTGAACGTAGAGCGACGGCTCGCTGGGAAGTTCAACGATACTTTTTTGATTGAATTCCCATAAGTGCGAGTCCCGCGCGCGCCTTTTTTCTCCCGACAGCGATGGACCTTCTTCTTGCTACAGTCGGACCAACACGGGGGATCTCAGTTCTGTCTGTGTCCCGAAATTTTCCAAAAATCCTTGGCACACTTCATTTTTGCTGTCTTTCCCGGGCCCCTTTCCGCAAACCAAAACACTCCAACCGGAAGATAGCACACTGCGTGAGGTTTGAGCATCACATCCTCGCAAGGTCTCTGCCTCCTCTTTCTCCCTGGGCAATTCGGGTCATCTTCCGTATGGAAGTATTGCCTGCAGGTTGCGCACCAGTCAGTGGTCGCCTTCGCAACTTCGATTGTAACAAGGGTGTTCTTCCATTCGGAATTCCAATCATTAAATAAGGAGTATAGTGGTCAGCTGCTGCTAATTCAAGGTCAAAACGAATACTATGCAATTCGGGTTCCCCTGATTTTGCCGATATCGGGTGGGTTTTGATCACCCTTCCAAAGGCCTTTTCTACTGCCTCTTGGAGTCTTGGATGACTGGCAATGCCGCCAAAGGGATCTGAAGACATCTAACCCAAAAAATCCTTACTTATTCATTTCACGCCGGCGCTGAAGTTCGGACTCGGTCATCCATGGTCGAAACGTCAGTTTGTGCATTTCCCCGTCCAAGTCCACCACATCTTCGTTTTTCAACAGCAAATACTCCGCCACCTCTTTAGTACTAGTGATGTATGAAATCAGGTTCCGGCCTTCGTTCTTGAACAGACCCCCGCGAGGGTTAGGACCCAACACGGTTTGACCTGTCCAATGATATTCTCGTAGGCCCTGATGAGCTTCTTCTTTAATCCCACCGAGAAGGAGTCCGATTCTTGTCCCCAAAAAATCGAGACCCCATGTCATTGATTGGTCATCTTTTTGTGCTGTGTATGCTTCTGGTGACATGTTCACCCTGAACATAATCCTCTCCCCTCTGGTCAGTAAGTTTATCATTGTAGCCCAGTGAGCGTCCACAGCCAGACGGATTCGAACCCGTGACCTGGGCTATAACAACCAGATCCCTTTACCACTGCAGAAAGATGGCCTTGAGGTGAACTGGGGCTTTCAGAAAAGTAGAAACACAACAACACAGAGAAGGGGGCGCCCCTACCTTCATGTTGTTCATCCGAGTCTGTCCTTCGGGACATCCTTTCAAATTGGAACGATACAGAGCCTCTGCGAAAGGATGACACGCAAAAATCGAGAAATGCTCCCGATCTTTGGGGGGGGGGAAACAAAAACAAAAACAAAAAGCAAAAAAAAAAAAAAAAGAAAAAAAAAAAAGAGGAAAAAGAGAAGGTTCATCTGATTCCTCACGCTTGGAAAACATGCTTCTACATGCGTGCACCCAGCGCTGTTCATGATCCTGCCCATTCCGGCCTAAGAGGCTACGACCCATCCAAGGACGCCCAGGCTGTGGCCTTCCCCCACTCCGCCCCCCCCCCCTCTCCTCTCCTCTTTTTCATAACGAAGGTGGAAGCCCTTAACCTTATTTTAACCAATGATTTGACGGAGTTTCACTGGGTCAAGTGAGCGCACTGAAC